AACTTTTTAAGGAGCTGTCAATCATTTTGCATTCCTGACAGTGATGCACAAAGGTTCTAACTTCTCTATATCCTACCCAACACTTATTATTTTAAATCTTGGCCAACCTAGTAGGTGTGAAGTGGTATCTCATTGTGGTTTAGATTTTCATTTCTCTAATGACTAATGATGTGGAGCATCTTTTCATGTGTTTAATGACCATTTGTGTGTCTTCTTTGGAAAAACATCTGTTCAAGTCTTTGTCCATTTAAAAAACTGGGTTTTCCAAGTTTTAGTTCTTTATGTATTCTGGATATTAATCCTGTCAAACATATGATTTGTAAATACAGCAGAACCTCCATAGTTGATCACCTCCTTACATTGATTGCCTCCTTAAGTTGACCTAGTTTTCAGAGTGAAAATGCACCACCTGTACATGTTAGCACCATAGACGTAGTTCCTTATGTTGGCCACCTCTGTAATGTTGACCAGTTTGTTATAGTCCCTTGGGTGGTCAATTGACTGATTTTCTACTGTATTTTTCCCTCTGTAGGCTTTTTTGCTCACTTGATAGTACTCTTTGAAAAAAAGTTCTTAATTTTTTTTTTTTTTTGAGACAAAGCCTCCAGCTATTGCCCTGGGTAAAGTGCCATGGTATCACAGCTCACAGTAACCTCTAACTCCTGGGTTCAAGAGATTCTCCTGCCTCTGCCTCCCAAGTAGCTGGGACTAGAGGCGCCTGACACAACGCCTGGTTATTTTTTGGTTGCCGCTGTCATTGTTGTTTGGCAGGCCTTGGCTGGATTCGAGCCTGCCAGCTCAGGTGTATGTGGCTGGCCCCTTAGCTGCACTGAGTCAAAAGTTCTTAATTTTTATGAAACATTTCCTCAATGTTTTATTCTAAATATTTTATCATTTTAGCTCTTACGTTTAGGTTTTTAATCTGTTTTTAGCTAATTTTAAAGGGTCTAACTTCATTCTTTTGCATGCAGATATCCAGCATTAATTGTTGAAAAGATTGTCCTTTCCTCATTGAATGATCTTGGCATCCTTGTTGAAAATCAATTGATGATGTATATGTAATATATATTTACTTGGGGGCTCTGTTTTATTCCATTGGTAGCTATATTTATCCTTGTGCCAGTGCTATACTGTTTTAATTACTATAGCTTTTTTGTGAGTTTATCAGTCAGGAAGTGTGATCCTTCAACTTTATCTTTTTCTTCAAGATTGTTTTGGCTATTGGGATCCTTTGCAACTCCACATGAATTTGAGGACAGGCTATTACTGCAAAAAAAAAAAATACTGTTAGAATTTTGATAAGAATTGCATCGGATCTATAGACCTATTGTTGACAATGATAAGTGTAGATATCCATAAACACAAGATGTCTTTCCATTTATTCAGGTCTTCAATTTCTTCCAGCAATGTTTTGTAGTTTTCAACAAGCAATTCTTTCATGTCTTTGATTAGATTGATTTCTAAGTATTTAATTTTAAAGATACTATTGTAAATAGATTTGCTTTCTTAATATCATTTCTGGATTGTTCATTGCTGGTGTACAGAAACCCAACTTATTTTTTGTGTACCTGGAACTTTCTGAATTCACTGATTAGCTCTAGTAGTTTTGCGGATTTGTGGATCCTTTGGGATTTTAATAGAGATAGTTTTACTTCTTCCTGTCCAATGTGTAAGTCTTTTCTTTCTTTTTATTGTCTAATTGTTGGCTGGACAACTTCCAGCACACTGTTGAATAGTAATGATGGGAGCAATACTTGTCTTGTCCGTTGTCAACATATCCTTGTCTCATTCCTAATTTCAGAGTATAATATCAAATTTTTATGTTCTCAACAAGAAACCACACACCTCCTATCACTAATCAATTTTCTCTCTATATGGATTTGCCTGTTTTGATTTTATGTAAATGGAATTATATAATATCTGGGATTTTCCATTTTTTCACTCAATATGATGTTTTTAAAGTTCATCCAGGTTGTACACATATATCAGCACTTTATTTCATTTTATTACCAAATAATATTCCAATGTTCCCATTTTCACATCATAATTAACATTACTATAAATAGCTCTGCACATAAGTCTTTTAGATTTCCTGATTTAGAATTAGTGGGTTGAAGGGAATGAATCTTTCTTCCTGTTGTATTTCAATCATATTTATATACCTCAGAAGATAACATACATGTGATTTTAATTTAATTATTTGAAAAAATGAACTAACACTAAAGAGAAAATCATTTTTTGATATTGTACTCACCCACTCCAACTTCCACCCCATGGTCCTGTTTCTTTACTTTCTACCCCTGGACAGACATTATCCTGAGTCTGATATATATTCTAATTCATTTTTCAAAAGTCTCTCCTCTTTACATATATATGTGTCTGTATATATATGTATATATAAGAGCATATTTTTAAAGGTTTTAAATTACAAGGCATTGGAGGTTAATAATGCCAATGTGATACCTGCAACATAAATCCCTTTATGTATTATTAAACAGAACAAAAACTAATTATCACTTCTATTCTTTCCATCAATATTAATATCATATAAATAAACCATAGTGTAATGGGAGATCTGAATCCTAATAAATGACTCTAATGGCCATCCTAATAATTCATACTGTGCCCTCAGGGGAAAATCATATTATATTTCAGGAGGCCTTTTTAATATTAAGGAGAGTAAATGAGATTAATTTCAAGGGGCTGCAGATTCAATGTGGACCAAAAAACTTAGTTTGACTATAGATTTGATAATTAACTCATTCTTAAAACTCTGAAAATAGTATCTAACTACTGTATAATTATAGTAGACAATTAAATCAGCCATTAAAGAAAACTTTGTGAACAAATCCAAATGTTTAATAGACACTCTGCCTATAGCTGGTAGAGTATGAAAAAAAATTCTGGGTATTTAGATTTCCCGGGCCTTCTCCACATTGCCCAGTAGTCAGGATGACTCATCAGTTTTAACAGGTTTCCTGGCTGCTGGACAAAAGTGAAATTGTCATGATTTGACACCAAATCTCCCCCTTTTTTCTTTTTCCTGGAAGGAAATTATTTCCCCTCACACAAAATACTGGTGGCAACGTCTATTCGTATCTTCATGCAGTTGAGTCTGATTGTCTCACGTTTCCTAGGCTGCCTTTCGACTCTGAGGACTAAGATGTAATTCCAGGGCAAAGGCCCTTTCGTTATCTCCTGGGGAGCTTCGTGGCATCTATCTGTAACTGTCTTGAACTGTCTTATGAAAAAATAGGGAAAGGACTGAATAATAAAACAACATACCAAAATTGTTCTTAAAGTTCAAATTTTTAATTCATTTTATTAGAAATTACCACACTGCTCTTTTAGATCATTCTACCTCTAAATTAGACATGATAAAATACCTTACTACTATTCTAGAAAAAGAGTACTGTTTTTCCCCTCAAGTTTATTGTTTAGTAACCAGTATCAGGAAGATGCCAGTTACAGGATTTACCAGTTACCCTTCCCCCCACCATGGACAGACTGACCCAATAAATGGAGTTGGGCATCTGAATAAAATTATGACGTGAATGAGCAGACGCACGGTGCTGGTGTTGTCTGGGCACCCAAGAGATTAGGGGAAGAGAGAAAAGCCAAGATGGGCAGTGAATCCAATTCATTATGGATTTATTTGGGCTGCTTAATGATCAGTGTAAAAGAACTGGCCCGCTTCAGCTTTATAATTACCAACCACAACTCTTTTCTCACAGACCTGTAGTAATGTTTTTCTTTTTTTGGTTGGGACAGGGCCTCCCTGTCACCCAGGCTCGAGTGCCATGGCACCAGCATTGCTTACTGTAGCCTCTAACTCCTGGGCTCAATCAATCCTCTTGCCTCAGCCTTCTGAGTAGCTGGGACTACGGGGGCGCCACCACTCTCAGCTAAGTTTTAAACGTTTCTTCGTAGAGACCGGTCTATGTTGCCCAGGTTGTTCTCAAACTCCTGGGCTCAAACGACCCTTCCCCATCAGCCTCCCAATAGTGCTGTATGAGACACCACTGCTTGACCCCGTAATAAAAAAACAACAAAACCCTGTATTTATTGTATGATAAACTCTGGATTTGGTGTTTTGTTACTTTTCCATTTCAATTCTTACAACTCTTCCTGCAGAGCAGGCATTATTATTATTCTCATTCTTCAGACGAAGTTCAAAGACACAGGAGATTTGACCAAAGTTTAGACAGCAACTAGAGTTGAGGACAGGTGCCTTTGAAACCTGGCAGGCCTGCCACCTCTCTCCTGGTCAGGGTCTAACCCAGAACTGGGTTTAAACAGCACAGACGTCAGTGAAGTGCAACAATTGTTGGGCTTCACTCTTCCAGGCTCTGCTGCCAGGCAGTTGTGTGACCTTGGACATTTGGACTACAGTGACAGTCTCCCTAGAGGAAAGGTCATCCACTACCAGCCCAGATGACCTGCAAGGGCTCTCCAGGCCCCACGTTATGACGGCTTCTCAAACCTGGCTGGCCAGGGAAGGGCTCGTCCAGGCCCTTGGGAACTGTCATCCGAGCGGTTAAATTACTCCTGGGCGGTAATTTAACTAGCAAGGCGGCCCACAAAATGCACCTGATGGGCACACTGGCTTGTTTGGTGCTAGTCTGCTTTCCACGGTGCAAAACGTTCGCCCCTGGGCCTGCCCCTGCGGGGATCTAGATTTTTCCAAACCCACTCCCAGAGTCCAATGCGCAAGACCCGAAGCAGCAGCCCGGGCGTTAACTGCCCAGCGCGTCGTCCGTGGGCTTGGTGGGGGGCGGCCGAGGGCAGCGTCCTAGTGGGGCTCCCGCAGCCGCTGAGAACCCAAGGCCGGTTTTCTCTGAACGCGCACCCGTGAGTCCGGGGGTGGAGGCTGAGAAAAGGGGCCGGGCGAGCCCCAGAGACCACACGCCGGGCCGCTCGCCCGCCCGCCAGCGCGCCCCGCGGCGCCGGCCTCCCGGGAGGCTGGGACCCGGCTGCAGCGCCCCTCCCGGCCCTCCGCCCGGCCGCCCGCCCCCTGCCCCCTGCCCCCTGCCCCCGGCTGCCGGCCAGTCCCTCCCCGCTCCGCCCGCCGGCAGGTGCGGCGGCCGCCGAGTAGGTGCGTGGGGATGATCTCACCCGCGCGCTCCGCGCCAGGAGGAGGAGGAGCGGGAGCCAGTCCAACTTCCGGGTAGTGGAGCCGCACGCCACCGGCATCTTGCTTTTTCCTTCCTCCTCCCCCCGGGTACCCCTCGCCGCGCCCTCCTTTCCTTTTATTCCCGGCCCCACCCGCCAAAATGAACAGCTCGGACGAGGAGAAGCAGCTGCAGCTCATCACCAGTTTGAAGGAGCAAGGTAGGCGGGCACGCGGACGCCAGGTGTGGGCAGCCGCGGCCCGTGGGCGGGGACCTCCCGGGCGCCGGAGCTGGGGCAGGTGGCGGTTGGGCGGGAGGCACTGCGGCCGCCGAGGTCTCCCCAGTAGCTCCGTTACCCGCGGAGAAGCGTCCTTCGTGCCCCCTGCACCTTGGAGAGCCCAGGGCTGAGGATAAAGTGCGAGTGCCCGGGAGAGGCGGGCCCGGCAGGGTGACACGGACTGCCAGCCGGTTTCATTAGCTGGAGACAGGGGGTTGGGAGTAGGAGGCAAGGATCGGGCACGGACGAGGTCTCAGGGTCCCACCTTCCTTGCCGCAGAAGCGGGTGGGCTAGGGTGTCTTGCCGGCTTTGGGCGGCTCTGCTAGACTTGGCCCCACCCTTCGCATTTGGCGCTTAGTGGCCTGCTGCGCTGCTTCACACCCTTCCCTGCTTTTGCTTTGGGTTAGATCTAGTTCCTTTCCCCTTATCCAGCTGGGATTTTCAAGGCCACGATTTGTTTTTATCACTTCTCCTTTTTAGCAATTTATTAGTGAGTCAGCATCTTGCCTGTGTGGGGCTTCCTCAATTAAGCATGTTGGTGCTGGGCGCAGGAAAGCCAGGCCATGCGCCCACTCTATACTGCTTGGTAATTATCCCTTAAAAAGGAGCTGTTTCAATCAATCTTATTATTATTATTAATATTACCACACTTCTAAACAAAATCTGATCAGCGACCAAATGTTAACCTAACACATTTTAAAAATTATTACCCTGATCAAAGTGTCGGAGAGTATGGGTCAAGGAGAGGAACCGTATGGATTTAGGAAGTAAAACTGTTTTGAGCGACTTGCTGACACGGTGGAAAGCCCCCCCCCCCCCAACGGTTTAGTTCCAGTTCTTTCACTTCTTGTGGCTCGGTCCCCAGCTCTGGGAACTTGGAGGAGTCTTTTCCCTTCTGGCGATCTTGTGGTTCATTAAGCTTTATCTGCCTAAGGCAAGAGCGAATGCAGATGACTTGTTCAGGACTATTACTGTTGTTCCTTGAGACCGCAGACTTAACATTTGCCAAGGTGCCTAGATCCCACGAACAAATCTCAACAGGACCATTTACTGTGTAACCTTGGGGAAATTCTCTAACCTCTCTGAAAGGGATATAACACCTTCCTTTGTGATATCTCTCCTCTAAAACAAACATCAATGAACCTAGTGCGTGGACAGAATGCATGTTTCGAGTTTCTCAAACGTTTTAGTGTGGGACTGGATTCTCTTGGTATTTTAATTTTAATAACATCTTCCCCTCCCCCCACCCACCTCATAACATACAGACTCATGATTGTATTCTAAACCTGTGGAGTTTTGGTATTGGTAATAACTGTCAGTGGCTATCACATCTTTTGATGGATGGTCAGTTTTCAAATGATTAAAATAAAAGATGTCACTTTTCATTCTGTATATAATTTCAAGGGTTGACTAGCCGTGAAGATAATCTACAGAATGTTTGTATTTAATTTTGGAAAACATTCTCTGTGTCTTTGTTGGATTTGAGGCCTGAGAAAAAGGGAGGATTTTTAAGTTTCTGGCTCTTTCTCCTCTTTCACTGCATTGGAAAACAAACAGATCCATGGTGTTGGTATTTTGAGAGGTTCTATTAGATTTCCTTGACTAAGGGCATAGCAGAGGAAACAGAACAATTAGAACTTTGGAATTTGTGTTTTTTAAGAGGTACACCTTGTTTTAGGATAGTAAGTCTGCTTACACAGGTATTGGGATTTTTTTCAGCCCTCAGTGTGATTTTTATACATCTCAAAACCAGGGTATTTTCTTGTCATTAGATCATAGACTGTAAAAACAATTGGCTTATTTCAAGAGTATTTAGTTCCTATTTGACCTGTGGAGCTAACCGGGAAGACAGGGGTTGGAGGACAGGCAGCTAGGTCTTTGAGTACTTAATAATGCATATTGTGATCAGTTTTGTAAGCTGATAGTGTTTGGTGTTTGTTTTTGAAAATAGTACCTTTTACTGTCTGTTTACATTGTGAGTAATAATTCTTCTACTCCTACTTGATGTGGACAAGAACTGTTATTGATTAAATACTCTTATTTTCTTTTTTAGTGTTGAGTAAACGTATTTATTCAGTCCTTTAATGCTTACCAAGTGCCTACTGTATATAAGGTCCATGTGCTAGGCATTGGGAGTGTAGATCGTGAACCAGAGAGTTCTTGTTCTTGCCAAGTTCATTGTCTAGTAGACAAGATAGTCATGAATCAAGTAATCACACAAATACATGTACAATTACATATTTTTTTCTAGGATAGATTTTTAGAATTTGAATTACTGGATTTCAGGTTATGCACACATAGAGCCTTGCTAGACATTGCAAAAGTGTCCCCCCCTCCCCCAAAACGGTTATACCAGTTCACATTGCTGCCAGCAGTGCCCATTTCCCCACACACTGGTCAACATTGGTGAATAGCAATCTCTATTAATTCGAGAGACTGATGAGTTTCCTAATTTTTGCCAACTTAATGGGCAAAGTGTTATTTTTTAAAATTTGGGTTGCTGTGGTTATTTGGTGAGATTTGAAATCTTTTTCACGTTTATTGGCCCTTTAGGTTTCATCATATGGTTCCTTCCTTAGTGAGTTTTTTAAATTGACATATTATATTTGTATGTATTTATGGGGTACGTGTAATATTTTGTTACATGTGTAGAATGTGTAATGATCAAGTTAGGGTTTAGGGTATCTGTCATTTGGAGTATTTATCATTTCTCTGTGTTGGAAACATTTCAAGTCTTCTAGCCATTCTGAAATACACAATACACTGTTGTTATCTTAGTTAGAACCCATTCCTTCTGAGTACATGTTTTTCCTCATTAACCAACCTCTTTTCATTCCCCTTCCCCACCACTTAGTGAGTTTTAAGCCTAAATTTTGAACCCGTTCCCCAGAATGGTATTCAGAAAGAAGGTTACTATCTACTCTAAACCACAGAGCTGACAGCAGCCTTCCCTAATGTGAAGGCTTCAGTGGTGTGGTGAATAAAGTTGCTTTTGACAAAAGTTGTGAAATGTAATGACGGAGTCTGTCATAATATGAACAATCTCTAATTTATACTTACCATTCCCTAAGCTCTATGTCTTATAAATCACACCCACTTCTGAATTACTTCAAAACATTGTATGTTCCCTTCCAGTGAATGGTATAATTAGCTATGTCTTTCTAGAAAGTTATATTATGTCCCCTTTAAAAAAATTAGCCAATGTGTGATTGCTTATGTTAGAGCAGATGTTGAGGTAATGAGGTAATTCTCCTTTTGTCTTTTTGGGGGCTTTATTTCATTGGACTGATTGACATCTTTAATGCATGGAGAAATGGCAACTTTGATACTATTTCCAATGCATGCTTGTATTTCCTAGCTACAAAAGTGGACATTTCCCTTACAAAACATCATACAATTTGCTCCCCCTCCACAATTCTATTGGAAAGATGATAGACTTAGTTTAGCATTTGTTTAAGGTGCGTGATTTTCTGTGGAATTCACTTAACCCACATGAATATTCATGGCTAGGCCCTGGGCTAGGCATCAGAGACATAGAGATGAATAACATCTTTCCCTTGCTGGTGAGGAGTTCTAGTCTAGAGATAGTGACAGGCATGTAAATCCCAGGAAGAATGTCTAGTCGGCTTACTTTGGGTCTTGGATTCAAATCTCTCGGCCAGGGAAGAGCAACACACTGTGATTGGCAGTCCCAACAAAGACCAATAGGTTGGAGTAGCTGTCCAAAACAGAATGGGGTGCCACCACCAAAAAGACATTCAGGGTAGACATAAATAACACATGGCCACTAAACTGATGAGCTTAGTAATGTCTTGTCATTGGAACTTAAGAAGTTTTGAAGAGATTGATTGCTACTTAAGGATGTTCTAATATAAGACCAAAACAACAATAATAACCCAAAAGTTGGGGGCTAACACTATTTAAAATGAAATTCCTACAGTAAGAAAATTTGGTTTAAAGCATTTTAAACCTCCTTTCATCTTTAGAGTTAGCATAAACCATTGTAATATCTAAGGTCTCTTTTCTTGCCTCCTTGAAGATGATGCCACTACATTGACAATGCATTTAACCCCATTCCCATTCCTCAGTTATCTACTGTTAACCTTTGGTTGCATTTCCTCCCAGAAATTGTGTGTTTGTATATATCACATGACGTGTAATTGTTCATATCAGTGCATATAGAATTCAGTCATTAAAAATTGATTGGATAATGTTCCAATATATGGATGTTTCCGATTTTTGCTATTAAAAATGATGCTTCTGGGATACAACTATAAGAGGGATTCTGCCTAACAAATGCAAGCATGTAACCTAGTTATTTGTACCCTCACATTAACCTGAAATAAAAAGAAATAAAATAACATAAAAAATGCTTCTGGTAATGGATTAGAATGGGAGGTATTAGTAAAAACTCAGCTTAAATATAGATACAGATGGTTACATGTACAAATATTTATAGATACCCATATATTTTTTGGTTAGGATATGCACTTGTATTTTCTTGCTTAGTCTAGCATGCTGGTACACACCTGTAGTACCAGCTGACAAATTTTTGTAGGGACAGGGTTTCACTATGTTGCTCAGGCTGGTCTCAAACTCCTCACCTCAAGCAATCCTCCTACTTCAGCCTCCCAAAGTGCTGAGATTGCAATCATGAACTATTACACCATGCCTGAAGAACTTCTCGTGGCCAAAGATGGAGTAGTTTGAATAACAGAAAATTAGATTATAATCCAAAGCGTAAGAGTAATACTCATGGGTCGATACTGTGATGTGCTGAGAGAGCCTGGATACACCAGTAGCAAGGAACACACCTTGTGCCCAGAACTTGGCTCTAATCCCATTCTCCAACAATAGGAACAAGGGTTCCTGGGAGAAATGGTTGATATTTTTTGGAATGGGGCTAAAGATATACAAGATGAGTCTGTGGCATTTTATAGTGC